TGTGGTGCAGTGTTTTAATTGTTTGAGATGAGAGGACTCAATTAACTGTAAGCAGTGTCATCCCAGGGCAGGTGGCCCTGGATGCTCTCAGATAGCTAGCCGAGCAAGACTTTATAAGCAAACCAGTTTCCTCTGCACCCGTTCCTGCTCTAGGTTCCTACCCACCTTCCTGCATGACTTCCCTCGGTGAAGGGCTTCGGTATGGAACTGTAAGCTGAGGTAAACTCTTTCCTCTCCAAGTTGCTTTTGGTCATGGAGTTTGATCACAAAAATAGAAGCCCTAAGACAGTGATGTATAGATGTGACTGTGTCCTGTGGGCCCAGGCAGCTGTGTATCCTGCTGGTGGTCAGAGGACAATCTCAGATGTCAATGCCTCCTTTCATCTTGTGTGAAACAAGGTCTCTCATTTACCAATGTACATGCTATACTAGTTAGCCTGTGTTCTTCTATGGATTGTCCTGTCTCCCCATAGGATCCTGTATGGCTTTACATGGGTTCTAGGAATCTATCCTCATGCTTGGCACGGCAAGCACTTTGCCCTCTGAGCCTCTCCCCAGTCTGTTCTTACAACTTCTAATAAATCAGTATCTGGCCTTCAGTGGTCAGGGCAGTTAGCAACAGCCTTCCTCACAGATCTTCTGTTAACACCTCCTCTTGGATTGAGATCTAAGTGTAAACACTATAAACCATGGTTAACATTGATACCTAGCCATTTTATGTAATAATTGTCATTTAAGGGCTAGAGAGCATGCAGTTTTTAGTCTGTGTTGGCTTCAGGCTGTGTGAGCTGGTATGTCCTTCCTGGGTGGAAAGTGACCATCAAATAGGAGGCCATGCCCTTCCCAATTCATCTCCATCCTCGAAGCACCTGGTAGCTCGGTCGAGGACACAATCATTTCTCACTGTAATTTGGTTCCTCCACTGTTGTCCACCCTGCCTCCTCTGTACGGGTTTCCTTGGCCCTAGTCTGGGCTAGGCTGCTGCTAACTAAAGCCCTTGGCTTTTGGATAGTCTGCAATTTAGGATTCCAAACTCAGTGTTTGTGAAGAAATTCGGGGATTCCAAAGGTTTCATGGAGATTTTGTTGTAAGAGAGTAAAAAGCCTTTTCACTCTTAACAATGAAATATTTATATCTTCTGTCATGCAAAGAACACTTGGAAAAGTACAGTATTTTCCTTCGCTTTTAATTGTTTTGTTTTTCCACTGCTCATCAGTACTGTTGGTCGAGGTCTTGTCTAACCATATGGCAAGTAGAAGCATAGTTTCTCTTTGAAAGAGACACTGAGTTGCATTTCTATCGTGTCCCCTGAGTTTCCAGTGGATGAGTTTCTTAAATATGTGTCCAGTGTTTTCTTCTTTATGCTTGTTGCCCTGGACATCATGTAGTGTGGGTGTATATTTGTTCCTCCAAGACAGAGATTCTTTCTATAACAACCGCGGCTGGCCTGAAACTTTCTTTGTTGACCAACATGGTCTGGAAGGCACAGCGGTCCACCTGACTCTGTCTCTGGAGAGCTGGGATTAAAGGTGTGTATCACCACACCCAACTCCTTCTGATAGGTTTATAGACCTTATACTTAATGTTGCTTTTATAGGATTTTATATTTTGTATTAAGATGAGTAATAGCTTTCTAAATATATCTCTTTACACCTTTCCTTGTTGTCTTGTATGGACTAGATACTTAGAAAGTATTGATTGGGTCAGTTGCTTGGGGAAAATTTTAGAAGTAGTGCCACTTGGGGTGTAATATATGCATGCATGTGTGTATGCATATGTGTGTACATGTGCGTGTTAGGTACTGTTTGTTCCAACCCCTCCCTGCCACCATGACTTATGTGACAATATCGTTTTTTATTTAGCTCATCACTTTTGGTCAGTAATCACTCTGTCTCAATCACATTTAGACTTAAGTGGGTTTTGAATGTTTAGTCTTGGACATAATAGTTTTGTGTGTTGGTTTCTGTATTAATACATTGAAATTGATAGTAGTGCCTTTCTTTGAGCTGTAGAGATGGCTTAGCGATCAAAAAGACTGTGTTGCCCTTACAAAGAATCCAGATTCTGTTCCCAGCACCCACTTGGTGGTTGAAAACCTTCTCAATTTCAACTCCAGGGGAGCTGATGCCCTCTCTGGCCTCTGCTGGCACTGTACACACATGATGCACAGAGAATACACTCATACACATAAAGTAAAAACAAATAAATCTTTAATTTTAAAAAGTATTACCCACCTCATCAGGTTGTCTTTGAGTGAATTAGTCCCCATAAGACACTTAGGTCATCACTAAGCATGGAAGAACTAGTTATTGGTTTGTTGCATCTATAGGTTTTCTACGGTTCCAAAATCAGTGAGAGCATTCTGTCCGTTCTCATCGGCTTCGTGGAATTGACAGTAGAACAAACACTTGCATTGTTACATGAAAATTGTGTATCTCACATTTTTTTATGTTAGTAAAATTTGTAGTAAATTTTGGTACATATACACACAGTTCTTTGTTATTTTTAAATAGTCATCACTGGATAAGTCGGCTGTCACTTCTGTCCCGCAGACTTATGGATGGGTTTCTAGCATATGGATAGTGTCTGGATTTAGCTTGTAACAGATGCTGTCAGTATCATACGCAGATCTCCTTTACTGGGCCAGTGCATCCGTCTCCCAGCTGCTGTGCTATTGGCTGCTAATAACTCACACCTGTACCCTTCTCCAGAGGACCACTCTTGGCTGACAGTAACTGCCCCGGCCAGATATGTTGGGAAATGATGAGATCTGGTCCCAGCCCCCTCCAAGTACCTAGGAGTGGCTCACAGCCAGTAACTATAAGGAGATACCCTGGCCTCTGGACTGGACGACTTATGTGATTCCATCCAGGCTCTAAGAGCTCCTTGGAGGATCAAGCTGGAGTGAGATCTCTGATGTCAGATCTTTACTGCGATTCTGCCCCCGACCTGTGTCTAGTTTACTACTTTCACTCCTGACTTCTCTTGACAGCATTCTTTTTATAATCATGTGTGTAAGCAGGGCCATTGCAGACTGTGCTTCTAGGGAACATCACCTTAGGTGTGGCTAATCTCAGTGGTTCTCTTGTTCTATTGGTTCCCCTATGCTTAAGCAATGGATTTCACATGCCAAATAATCCAGGGTTGAAATTTCTTTGCTCTTTAGTTTTTATTTGTTTCCTTGGTTCCGGCCTTTCTAATGTGTATCAACATTGCTCACATCCCTCCTGTTTGTTTCTTTAAGGCTATTTTTCAAACTCCTTATGTACCTAGGCTCTTCAGTATACTGCAAAGGTGAGTTATCTTACAGTTCAGGATCTGAAAATTAGTTTCAGAACCTAAGTCAGTGAAACTTCCAGCCCTTAGTTATTGGAAGAATTGTATGGTCTACTCTTAACCCTCAGCAATGCTGTCAGGAATATACTTAATAAATGTTAGCTGCCTTGAAACACGTACTGGTTTTTCATTTATTTGCCTTGCTCTAAGCAAACACTTCAGTGATGGTACTTTAATGAGCTGTTATCAGAACTTCCAGATTTCCTGTTTCTCACTGAGCATAGGAGCTGCCCAGTTTTATCCAGTGATGTGTTGGCTTGCCAGAGAGAACACCCCTGATTCACTTCTACCAGCAGAATATTCCCACCGTGGCTCATTTTGAGCTGTTGATATGATATCACTGAATGTAGTGTTGGGAAGAAATAGACATGAATGGCCTTTGCAAGCCACCGTACCCTAACTCTAGTCCCAAATTGCACTGTCTGGGTCCTTTACATTAACGCAGTATTTTACACACGCAGCCAAATGTCCAATATGTGACTAAGAAACAGAGTTATTAACTGATTGAAATTGGATCACGTGGTGCACATCAGTAAATTACTTATCCAATTCTTGTTATATAACCAACTACATCCCTTTTGTTCAACACACACACACACACACACACACACACACACACACCCTTCCTGGGCAAATTGAATTCAGAATTCAATGATTAAAACAATTTTATCAGAAATACCAAGAGCTGTAAGACTGTCCTTCTCGATTTTTCTCCTAAGCGCCCTGTCTCACTGACACCATGAGTGTGCTCGTTGTCTTTTCTTTGCCTCATGTGTAGTGAATCCAAGTGGATTTATACAGATACATGAAAGGCCAAGATTTTAGTGGTTCACAAATTTCAGTATTTAGTCATAAAAAGTTATTATGCTAATAACTCTGTACATGGAGTTAAACAAGGCTGCTCAGCTCCGTGTCTCAGTCCAGTGTCTGTTGCTACAACAAAGCACAGACTGAGCGATTTCTAACGAAAAAAAATTTACTGTAGGTCCGGCGTCAGGGGTGTCTGGTGAGGGTCACACTGTGTCTTGATGTGGCAGCTGACGTCAGTGCTCATAGACACTGAGCAGGAAAGTGTGGTTGTGTGTTCCTTCTATTGTAAAGCCATATTCCACCATGGCACCCTGACCTCGTATCTAACCCTCCTTACCTCCATGCATCCCAGCTCCAGACGATGCCATCAACGTGAAATTAAAAGATTCCATCACGTGAACACTTGGTGAATATTTCAAGCATAGCCTTGTTCTGTTAAAAGTTGCCACCAAGCTTACAGCAATGGTACAACAAGATGCTATGGTGTATGTCTAGGTCACGTTGCTCTCTGAGTTTGGACGTCACTCAGTTTGTGGAGAGTGTAGTTCATTTGGGACTGATAAACAAAGTCTAAAACATTCTTTTGTCTTTAATAAAAGAAGAGTTTTCCTGATCATTCTCCCCCTATTTTGATATAAAGCGTGAAGATCATTGTAAACATCTGTGCTCTCTGTGGGCTATAATGCCTTCATCCTAGCTACGTGGTCTGTATGTTTTAGATTCCTAGTCTGTACCACAGACTTCAGCACTCAGTTTTGAAAAGATACATTGGTTTCCAGTAGGAATTGTTATTGGTGCATTTTTAAGCTAATGAGTACTGTTTTTTAAAATAGAAATGTGTTTCATTTTGACAGGAGCTGATAATATCCGGAAATACTGGAGCCGCTACTACCAAGGATCTCAAGGGGTAATATTCGTATTAGACAGCGCCTCTTCAGAGGATGATTTAGAAACCGCTAGAAATGAACTGCACTCCGCTCTCCAGCACCCACAGTTATGCACTTTACCCTTTTTGATATTGGCCAATCATCAAGACAAGCCAGCAGCTCGCTCAGTACAAGAGGTATGCATGTCTCCTAAGTGCGCTAAGTCTGTCCACTGGGTCTGAGTGTTGAACTATTGCCACCGCCACGGTACCATGGGTGTGCTGGACGTGATGTTTTCACCGCAGAACCATCATTCTCATGGGTAGTGGGAAGCCCATTATGAATCCAATGAGAAAGCATATTTTATGCACCTAAGCTTGCTTGAAAAACAAATTCTTTTTTAACTGGAAGACATCCCTGGCTATTTTCCCATTTCTTTAGAGGTAAAGGTCTGGCTAACTTAACATTTGCCCCTCTCCGCTACCTTTCAGAGGGATAAGCTGTGGATTCGATAGACATCACTGAGCCTCACATATCGTGTTCTTGTCTCTGAAACACTTGCTGCTGTTGAAAACCTGGTGTCTTATCTCGCAGGCTTCATGCTACCAAATATATTTCACCGTGGCGGCACTGTTTGCTCTCCTAACCCAATTGTATTTCTTAGCTTGTTTCTCTCCTATGAAAGTGGGAGGCTATTCTGGGTAAACAGGGTCCCACTAAGCTGAGTTTCTGATTTCTGGAATTAAAATAATAAGATGTAAATAGCTTATCACTTAGGTACGGTGGACTCGAACCACCCCTGTTGCATTCCTTTGCCCCTGCACTTTGTAGGGCATTTTTTTTTCCCCTCTCCAGAAAACTGCAATGCCCTGAGTGGTTTAGGATTAAAGTGTTTAATAGGAATGAGGCTGCCCTTCAGTCTGAAAAAGCAGAGAAGGTACGAAGAGTACAATGTGATTTAGCCCCAGGCCTCCCTCATGCTAAGCGAAGACCCATGGCTAGTAGCTTTGTTCTTATGCCTGCCTTCCCACCAACTTACTCTAAGTGCATAGGATTAGTTTGAATGATTTATTCTAACTTCATAGTGTTAAATGGAAGAGGGCCCATGTATAGATACTTTTTATTTGTTTAAAAAAAAAAAAAACAGTGAAACATCGTGATTTATTACTCAGCCCACAGAGCTGTCTGTGGTTGCCTCCTTTTGTCTTCAAGACTCGCTACCCTTTCACTTTATAGATTCTGGAAGATATATTTGATAGTAATTAAAGAAAAGTAGCAGCCTGGCTGTAGTAGTGCATGCCTTTAATCCCAGCACTTAGGAGGCAGAGGCAGGCAAATTTCTGATTTCAAGGCCAGCCTGATCTACAGAGTGAGTTCCAGGACAGTCAGGGCTACACAGAGAAACCCAGTCTTTTAACAACCCTCCCACAGGATCTCTCCCAAAGGAAAGAAACATAGCCATTTAGGTTATCACCAGTCAGCCCTCCTGCAGTATAGTCGTGATGCCTCCTGGATCTGTTCTTAGCATCCCGGTCCTCGGGCTCCCTTTGCACTGTCAGACTTTCTATCTGCAGAAGGAATATGAGAGAATGTGTTGTTACCAGTTCCGTGCTTGTTTGCATTGTGAGGTTCTCGACTCTAAAGTATTTTGTCATTCTCACAGGCAATATGGAAACAGTGTTCCTATAAATAGAATTATCAGTGTATAAAAAGTGTGGATGATACGTGAGAATGATGTTAGACGTTGTAGCTGACACGATTCCTTCCGGTTTTTAAAGAAACTTTCTCTTAGATATCAGATTAATAAGACAAACTTTTTTTGAAAGACTTATTTTCGTCATTTTCAGTTACGGTGGGGAGGGTACATGAATGTGCGTGCAGATACCAGTGGAGGTGACAGGCATCGGGTCCCCTGGGAACCGAACTTGTATCCTCCAGGAGAGCAGTACATGATCTTAACACTGGGCCATGTCTCCAGCCCCAATACAAACACTATTTAAACTTAATACACGATTCACAGTACTCTCTGTAGGAATTAAAGACTCACATTGACTTGTCAACACGTATCCACACATATCATAAGGTACACGTTAGCAGAGCGTTTTTGGAGTATTTTATAGGGTAGGGGGAAAATTCCTTGGTAGACCTAAGGTCTGTAGATGCATAATGAAATGGTCACCCTAGCTTCACTTTGGCTGTGAAAAGAAAGCAAAGCATCCAGTCTTTCTCTTAATGACAAAGAGGTAACTCTCTATAGTGTGTTTATATAAAGCCCAGTTGACATACTCTTAGGAATGTTTTAAGAATTAAATCAATACCTTATTGTTAGCATAAAAATGGAGTTGTGAAACGGAATCTTCCATGTTGTATAAACAATAGCCTCAAACTGGGTTGGAAGCAGCAGGCCAGGGTCGGCCATTTAAAAGCAGGGTCCCATGTTACTTGAAATAAATACATTTTAGACGTTTGTGGAGAAATATCTTCAGACATCTTTTTTGCTATTCTTCCTTTCATCACGATGCTACTGGCTCTGTGAACTTTTGTTTGTGCCTACTCATTTGTGTATATTTGGTGGTGCTTTGAGTTGATATTTTACCCTGCAAAGTATCTGTGACTTTTAAGGGAGAAATTTCTGCTAAAAAAAAAAAAAAAAAAAAAAAATCAAGGGAGATACATTCAGCTTCCCAGGAAGTGCTAACAGCGTGACACGGTTAAGAAAAAAACAGTGTGTTCTTAGGCCTGTTGTTTCCTCTCTTCCTGAAAATTACTCTATTTTATGTTTTCTGAGGTGGAGGGGCGGGGAGAATTGTGCCAGGATTTGTCTGGTTTGCTCGAGTAAGATTTAAGAATTCACTTGTTTATTAAGATAACTGTTAACCCACAAGTGGATGCAAGCCAGCGAGACCCAGAGGAGAACCATGAATGGTCGCCAGGATTCTGATGAGATACAAATCATCAGGAAGTTAAATATTTTAGCTCCATCTCATGCTGTGCATGCTGCTGTCTGTATGGAGCACGGAATTAAGAAAGGAAGACAATGGTTAAAATTACTCCATAACCCACAAAACGGGCAACTTGCCCAACTGTCTCGCTGCCCTTGGAGAAGCAAGTGGCATCTTGTAGGTAATATATCTTCCTTTCCCTTCATTACTTACCTGGTAGTGATTTGTTCAACTTACAAGATTTTTAAAAATTGATAGTAGAAGCATACATTGCTTTTTTTTAAAAAAAAAAAAAACAAAAATCAAACACACACCGTGGAAAAATACTGGGTAAAATGACACCCTATATGCTGTTGGAAAGCCAGGCAATTCTTACACCAGATGTTTGTTCTGCTCACTTTAGGGGAGGTGAGGTTCCTGTAGTTTTCCAGGATATATTCATATCATCAATTTTTCTCTATGGAAAACATACTAAAAAAAAAAAAAAAAAAAAAACTACGTTCATGCCAAGTGGCCCAGCTGATAGGTTAGGAGGAAATTTGGTCTAATTTAAATGGTAAAGCTGTAAAATGAGAACTCTTAAGAGTAAATCGTTTGGATTTTTATTTGTATTGAATTGTAATTGAATCTAATTTGTTTTACAACTCCCTTTGGAGAGCTTCCTTCAGTTCTGAAGTTACTAAGTAGACCAGGAGTATTTTCTGAGAAGTTAAGTTGATATAGTACTTACTAATGTAATCCTATTTTCTCTCTATATGGTTGCTGACCACTGTTTTTTTACTTCCTGGCTTTTTTTTTTTCAGTCTTATTTTTGTTTTATTGGTTTTACCAGGCCATATAAAATGACTCATCTTGCTAACCTGAATGAAGCAGTCCTTATTTTCAGCAGCTTTATTTGATTTGACGTTCGTAAGTGCCCTTAATTCGAATTATGTAACTTTTTCAAAAGCCCTACATTAGATAAGCACGATTGAATGTTTTTACTGCTGCAAATCTTAATTGAAAAATATGAAGACCGTGAAACAGATTTTTGAAGCAGAATTATGAGGCCCAGGGACTTGATTAGCTTCCTGCTTCATTGATTATTTCTTGGGAAATACAGATTCTCAATTAGTGTGTCAATACCGCAGCTGAAATTTGTGATTATTGTGCCTGTTAATTTTTATGCTGTGTTCATGGAGCATGGTACTATATTTGAAAATAATAGAGTAGAAATGTGAAGGAAGTATCTCCAAGCATTCTTGGGTTCAATTTTTCTAAACACTGCATTCAATCCTTAGGGGTAGGGGATTTAATCTGGAGGCAGCAGTTGTCTTCTGGAAGAAGCATACATGTGATTTTTATGGTATTTATCTATCAAGCTTAATCGTAATTCCCGTTTAGAGATAGTCTTCACATTGCACGCCTTTTTCCTTTCTTTAATACATGTCACCAAACAATGCACCTCTAATTTGCATCTTTTATTTTGTATTGGTATTGCTCAACTACAGAGTAGTTCTTTTTAGTAGTTCTATGAAGCAGCTGTAGACAAGGATCGTCTCAGAATTTCCACAATGTCAAATCTTTTATTACAAAATGCAAAACACGGTTAAAATTGTATAAAGCACTAAGTTCTACTGAAGGTCCCTTTCTGTGTATGGAGCACAACAGTTTTCACTGGGAAGTGCACTCTACTTGAAGCCTGACAAGCTCTCCATGGATCCTGACCTGCCTCTTGGCAGCATTTTAGAATACTGATTGGATTTCACATAGAGCAGTGCACATACCTATGGTGTGAGCAGTTTGGAAACTCCCTTATGGGACATATACTTATTCTAAAATGATATAAGAGATACAGATAATTTTGTCCGTTCCTTACAGATGTCCTCCACACTGTTACAATTAAATTTTGCGAGGTAATGACAGGGTTTGGGAGTCTGTCCTCTGCTGAATGACTCTGTTATTTCTTAAAAATGTTCCTTGACCTACGAGAAAAGCTGAGTTAGCAATCCCCATTAATAGTTGCAAAAACATCATCATGAAAAGTGCACTTTAAAGGGCAACTTTGAGGCTGAGAGTACTGAGATCAGCTGACATACTGTATAGTCATTCAGGTTTCTGTGTGCAGTCTTTGAGAAAAGAAAAATTAATTTCTTGGTTGTACATCTGCCCGGCTTGCTCTCACCGTTCTTCCTTGTTACCTGTGTTTCTTGCATCTACTAGGTAATGAGAATGTCCCAAGTCTACCGTAAACTATTAAAACCCTCATTCCCAAA